GAGAGAGAGAGAGGGGTAGGGGGGCAGAACGAGACCCCGAACCCCCCCACCCCCCCCCCGCCCACACCGTACCCTTCATATAACAGTTTATTTGTCCTGGCCTACCCTTTACTAGTATATTTGCCGTATTTTTTTCTTTTTTTTTTATTCCTCTTTAACAACTTTCAGCTCAAAGTGAATAAATAAACGATAAGGACATAAAACTTACCCCCTAAGAGGTTAACCTTAGTTTGAAAATTATCCAACTCCTCCTGGTCCACGTATCCATCCTCTAGAAAAAAAATTATTCAAGTTATTTAACAATAATTTTCAAATAATGTGTAAACAATTGTGACATTGAAATAAACATTCCAGGCACAATTTTATGGGAGATAAAACTAAAACTTGCAAACTTAACTTAAACTCCATATGTCTTTTTCGTGTTTATAAGGATAATGATCACTTTTTGGACAGAGGTTCATGCAGGTAATTTTTTTTTAAAAACGAGGCGACATATGTAAGAAATTTGAAAGGAAAACAAGAAAACCGATAAAAAATTAGTAAATCAACAAAGATGACAGGAAGAGGGGAGGGAATGACGTAATTCTTTTAATTTGGAAAACTACTTTACCGTTGGTGTCGAGTTCCTCCATCGCTTCGGGATCCTTCACGTCGTGCAGTGATATCTTGCCGTCGCCATCCAAATCATTCAACATAAACTTGGAGTTGTTCTCCTGAAACGTACATGTTAAGAAAATCAAAACGCTAAAGAGACTGATATCAATGGAGAAGTACTGAAAGAACTGTATAAGAAATAATTTGATTTTCAATAATCTCAAGGTGACACTTTGTCCATAACATTTTCAAAACTTTTTTATTATAAATTGCGCGAGCGGAGACGAACGAATGGAGATTGATGCAATGCATTAGGTGAGCTTCACAGCCGATTGCGTGTTTTTCTCGTCGGGAGGGCCGGGGGTAGGGGTGGGTGGGGTGGGGCTGTTACGTGTTCCCAAGCTTTGGAGCTACTTGTACAATCCCTCTTCCTTCCAGTATATGTATTACAAAGGACAAAACCAAGCAATTTTCCATCCTTGTGCACTACATATTACAGTGAATCTATCCGCATCTTCCATTTTCATTTGTTCGACAAGAAAAATCAGTTTAAATAAAATTCTCGTGTACCCTACAATCGCACCCATGCCTCCTCCCTTAGCAACATTCAGTCATTCCCATTGGCAGCAAACGTTTTCCATTTCAGAATTATGGAGATTTTTTTGAAGGGTAGCAGTTTGAAAAAGCAGTTTTATCGCCTGCAAGGGGTATATTAGTAAGTCTGAAAGGATTAACATCTCTTCCCCCCCACTAGCCACCTCTCTTCACCCAGTCTCAATTCAAAACCGATCATAATATACCCTCTACCAGGGCGACTGATAGATAGTTACAGATATTCACAGATATGTCTCTAGCTAGATAGATGGTCATTTTGAGCTGAAGTCACCCTGTTGAGGAATCTCAAGGCTGATTACATGGCTGCATGGTAATTGTTTGCATAACTGCTCAGGCACTGCCACTTAGCAGGTCCAGTCTAAGTCTGCGTGACAGCAATCAAGACAGTTAATTGCTCTGACTTCAATCACTTGCTCTTCTGTGACAGATAAAAAGCCTTAGACTGGTTGCGTAACGAGCAGTTATCACATCGTTGTGAAGTTCAGCTCATGCAGAGCAAGTACAAAGCCTTTGGCGCGCGGGCAGAGATAATTGTTTCCACATGGGATTTCTCAACAGGGTGACTTCAGCCCAAAATGACCATCTATCTAGCTAGAGACATATCTGTGAATATCTGTAAAAATCTATCAGTCGCCCTGGTAGAGGGTAATCATAATATATGTCTGTGAGTACTTACATCTCCGGCTACTGCCACCGCAGCTTTAATTGCCTTGTAAGTTTTGACAACTCTTGCCACTCTTCTCACTACTCTAACGGCCCTGGAAACATACACTGTATATTTCAACCGTTGATATGTCTACCTGGGCCAAATATGTCGTTTGATTAACAAATAAATGGATTATTCGTCGAATAAAGAAACAATTGGTTTATCCCATAAACTGTGACACATTAAAAAAAAGTTGGTGATCTGTTACTATTTGTAAATGATATGCGATGTAAATTCAGATTTTGGTAGCAAGCTGTAGCTACAAAGGAAGTTATTTTGTCGTGCATTCAAATAAATGCTTTGATGCTTTATTTTGTCGTACATTGTAATATGTTTTACCTTCTCCAGAATCTTCGAAATCGAAGTCGAATTCGAAGTCGCCAACTTTCTCCATCCTGTGGCATAAGGGCCACGAACAATATCAGCGCAAAAAGGCAAAATGCCAACTTCATAATGAGCTTCGATATCTGAAAAAGTATATTTGTAAGATAAAATTACACACGCAATAATTTTAGCTGCAATTCAAATGTACCAAAAAAAAAAAAAAAAATCCATCCAGGACATTGGTGCTGATGATTTTGATCGAAAAATCAGAACGATCATGGTCACTGAATAAGACCTAAGCAGACATTTGCTCAATGTGTAATAGTCCAGGAAATTGGTGAAAAATTGTGCATTTTTTACCTACAAGCATGAAATTTGGCACACTTATGGACAATAAAATTCTAAGCAAATTTGGATATATGGGCATGTCTGAAAATTCCAAAATGGCCGTCAAATCCAATATGGCCACCAAAATACCTTTTCAAATTAAAACTTCAAGTACATAGTCTTCTAATGACTTAAAATATCATATAAAGGTTAGAAAACACCATGGTAGGAATCCTTCAGGTGTATTAAATCCAAAATGGCCGCCAAAAGTAAAAAAAGCAGACCATTTATTCAAGTTATCCATTTGAATGGGGAATTCATCAAGCACTTAAAACTACAAGCATAAAATTTGGCAGGTTTGTGGAAAATGAAATTCTGAGCAAGTTTGGATGTATGGGCATATCCGAAANATGTGGGAAGAAACCTTGCAGCAGAATGAAGATCGTCATTATGAAGTTTCTATTCCATTCAGAAAAAGACCACCAACATTGTCCAATAATCTTCAGATAGCCCAGCAGCGACTAGGAAATCTGCAGAAAAAGTTGACAAAAGACCCAGTTTTGAAGCAAAACTATTGTTGCTACATGAAAGATCTGTTAGAATGTGGATATGCAGAGAAAACACCTTTCTCAACTGAACAAAATGACATGCCTACTTGGTATTTACCTCACCATTCAGTGATAAATCCCAGAAAACCAGAGAAAACAAGAGTTGTATTTGACTGCTCAGCAAAATACAAAGGGACTTCCTTGAATGAACAAGTATACCAGGGGCCGGATCTAACTAACAGTCTACTAGGAGTCCTACTTAGATTCAGAGAAGAGCCAGTGGCAATAATGGCAGACATACAGTCCATGTTCCATCAAGTAAAAGTTCCCCCCAGTGAGAGAAGTGTGTTGAGTCTCAACCAGCTGTAGACCACAGAATGACAGTACATTTATTTGGTGGTACATGGTGTCCGAGCATTTGTAGTTTCGTCCTCAGACATACAGCTGAAGTGAACCAGACTGGTTGTGATGAATCAGTTGTGGAAACAGTCAGGAAGAATTTCTACGTAGACGATTGCCTAAAGACACTACCAGACGTAGAAACTGCAGTGAAGTTTATTCCCCAGTTATGCGAGTTGCTAGAATCTGGAGGGTTTAAACTAACTAAGTGGATGAGCAACAAACATGAAGTCTTGGAATCTATCCCAGTCCAAGAGAGAGCCAAAGGTGTTGAAGTCAACCTCAGTCAACAAGCGTTACCTACAGAGAGAGCTCTAGGTGTTTATTGGAATGTTGAAGAGGATGTTTTTTGTTACAAGATTGCTCTTAAAGAGAAACCTTTGACGAGAAGAGGTATTTTGAGTATGGTCAGTAGCATATTTGATCCCTTAGGTTTTGCCAGTCCATACATCTTGCAGGCAAAGAAGATCCTACAAGAGTGAACCAGACAGAAATTACAGGGATGGAACCAAACAAAACTAGGTGAATTTTTCAGACAGAGAGAGATTAAGTGGAACTTTAACCCACCAGCAGCCTCACACATGGGTGGATCATGGGAAAGACAGATCAGGACAATTCGTAAGGTATTAAGTGGAGTCATGAGAGAGCAGACCTTAGATGACGAAGGACTCTCTACACTTATGTGCACAGTGGAAAACATAGTGAACAGTCGACCACTAACATATGTCTCAGATGATCCCAGAGATCCAGAACCGCTATCACCCAATCATTTGCTCCTTTTGCGTTCAGGCCCAACACTTCCACCTGGTAGATTTCAGAAGGAAGATATGTACAGTCGTAAAAGATGGCGTCACATACAGTACCTTGCTGATTTGTTTTGGAAACGTTGGGTGAGAGAATATTTGCCATTATTACAAAGCAGACAAAAGTGGATGACTGTAAAACGTGATTTACAGATTGGTGATGTTGTTTTAATTGCAGACAACAACACTCCAAGAAACATGTGGCAAATTGCAACAGTCATTAAAACTTTTGAAGGGAGAGATGGACATGTTAGATCTGCAGAAGTACAAACTGTCAACACAATATATGTTAATTGAATTTCAGTTATTATTCATTTTATGTTAAAGTCAGAGACTGTTATAACAATGGATTTCATTCATGGAAAAGGATATTCATGGAGGACATTTAAGAAATGGAAAGTGATCAATGAGGACAATAATTCATGGAGGTTACCATGAAGGACATTTGATTAAGTGACAATAATTAAACAGTGGACATTGTGTTTAAGATTGACATTTAAGGAGTATGGTTAACTTTAGATGTACCATATAACTGATATGTTTATATTATAAAGTGTACTTCATACATAGAATTAAGTTCTGTCCTTTAGAAGTATATTAGGTAAATGTTCAATTTATAATCTCACATTTAAGGGGCCGGTGTAAAGGACATAACCTGTCACCCCTACCATATAGTATAGTCCACACACCCCTATTAATAATAGGCACTGCCACTTACCACTTAGCATGAGTAGTTGATTAGACAGACAGCTTAGGTGCAAGCAGTTGAGTTTATGCAGACATCCAAGAAGATAGAAATTTGTCATACAAAAAGAGGACAAAAAAAAATTGTAAGTTTCATGTACTTTTCTTTTAACAACTGTCATTGTTACTATCAAATTCATATTGAGTGAAAATTTAGTTTTAGGGAAATATATTGTGGTATTTAAAAGTCTCAGTAAAATTTGGGTGTGGACTCGTGGATAATTCAAAAGTGTCATTTTTCTTTATTATTTAATGTATTCACTTTATTAATATTTATATGTTTGTTTCTTTATATTTATATATAATGTGCTCTAGGGTTTTTGTCAGTTATTTAAGCATTTTTTATTTTATTTCATTTTACAGATTTGAACCATACACACATGAGTATCGTCACACAAGTTTGTGTAAAGAGACAATAAACTAACCGTATGAGTACAAATACAGTCTTCTCTTTTATATTGAAGTGTCACCCGTCACACCCATGGTACATACAGCTGACCAGCACCTCTGCCTCTTGTGCCATGCTGGTACAATTGGTCACCAGTAAGTGGCAGCATATGTACACAGTCACTGAGCAAGCCTGATATCTCAATGTTAAAATGCAAACTTTAAACTGTTATGTGTTATGAATCAGAGGGCTGTTCCCATAGTGTTTTCTGTGATGAATTTTTTACCAAAATGGTTATTTACAACTACTTAACAAGTACTATCTAGTACTAGAGCACTGTCTTAATCATGGACAGTGTCAATCTATCGTCTTTTCACTGTGGTTAAATTCCATCTGCATTAAATTCTGTAGGGACTTTGGCTTGCCCGTATATTTATGAAGATATTTGATGTTGTGTGTTAATGAAGAAAGTACAGCATAGACAGCACTATACTGTAGACAAAAGCAGATGCGGCTGAGGAGTGAATGTCCAGACAGAGTCTGTCCATAAAAAGGAAAACAAGACATACACTGGTGTGTAATTCATATATTGAAATAAACACAAATGTCAAAAGATATGAATGTAAAGGCGATAACTGTAATAACTGGATTGTCTATTTACACAGATTAAATCAGTTATTTAGAGAGGTATATATATATATATTTAACTTTATGTCTCCTCCATCTCAGTGTACCACCAACTTTTATAGTCTCATTCATAGCAAGAAAGAAGGCAACAAGGAATATTGTTTGTTCGTGATTTAGCCAAACCAGGCCGCTTTTATTATATAACCCCTCTATCCTAATCGTTTTAACAATAATAACAATGTAGCAAATTGTTGCCTGTATTAAATGTTATGGCCTTAGGGATAAAGATTATATATCAAATATTCAATGAGACTCATCATCCTAAAAATTATGATGCGACGAGTCAGCAAAAGTTATTATTTACCAACAATTTTGCACAAATTTTCATTTGTGGTAAAATGAAATTTTTTGAACTGAAGATTTCAGTTGCAGATTTGAGATAACTTGTAGCTTAATTGTATCATGCTTGTGAACAGATGAATCAAGCAAACTGAGGCCAGGCAGTGATGCCCCATGGTATAAGTAGTATAGTGTCTCAATTAAGTATTGTTAGTGTTTTCAATTATATATATATATATATATATATATATATATATATATATATATATATATATATATATATCACTACTAGATTGTCTTAATTAAGTATATAACATTATTTTCAGCTAAATATTTGAAAGTTCTTTACAACTTCTAGATTGTCTTGGTTAATATATGAATTTATTGTCGTTTAACGAGTCAACGCAAAATGTGTTAGAGAAGCAATTCAGGTGAGGAAATGAGTTCATAGGGCGGGGAGTTTGACATGCGCAGATCGTGCATTGCGCAATAGTATAAAAGGAAATGTGAGATGAGCATATTTCATTCGAGGCTGTTTCAGCTTGCTGCGTCAGGTCCAAGTAAATCGCTAGTATGTCGAAGAGAAGAAGGGAGTCAAACTCGGAGAGTGAAGATTCCGAGAGTGAGAGCAGAGAATTCTTAAATGTGGCAGTAGAAGATAAAGAAGAGGGCAAGGAAGGAGTTTTCAATAAGCAAGGTGATGTAAATGATAACAGCTCAGCTGGAGAAATGACGGACACATTTTCTGTGTTCAACTTCAAGTCTTATATGGACAAACAGTTTAAATCACTGAAAAGGGAGCTCGTCGAAGAAAGTCAAAGTCAGAACAAAAAAGCCAAAACAGTACAGAAAAAATTAAAATTTGCGGGAAATCAAAAGCAGTTCAAAATAAATACTGAAGTAATCGAAAATATGCAGAAAGTTGATATGTTCATTTAGGACGGACATGTAAAAGAGGCTCGTAAGGCACTAAGAGAAGGCATTGACATTTTACAAAAGCGAAATAAACTTATAAGAATAGCAGACAAGTCAGAAGCAGGTTGGGAAGCAGTAAAAGAATAAGAATCAGATGACATAGCAGAAGATAGTGATGATAAAAAGAAAATACGGTACGCACAAATGAGAGCCAGTAGAAAAATGCGAATACGAAATCAAAATAGGCGTAACAAAAACGAGTTTATTTACAATAAAAAGAATTATACTGCATCAGTCAATTTTCCAGGTTTATCTGACCGAGGAAGCTTTCTTTTTTGAAGAAAAAGATTCCCAAACCGAAACGACCAGTGCTTCGATTGTGGACAATATGGCCATTGGAGGGAGAGCTGTCCATACAAAGACCAAGCACAGAGTACAGTGCATCCACGAGAAAGAACATACGGACAGAACTTCAGAGGAAGCGAAGCTACATGCAGCGGGAGACAACAAAACGAATAAAAGCAAGATGAGCAAATCAAAAATGAAAGATAAGTATATGATAGATAATAATTTGAGCAATTCGGATGGGTTGATAGTTATCAACAAAATGTTAATGTTAAAGGAAGAATTAAGAGAAACTATCAGTTCTGGGAAAGCATACAGGCTAATAAAATATTTTAGACGTAATAAAAAATGGATATGTTATTCCATTTATTGAGACACCGCCAAATTCATTTATCAAGAATAACAAATCATAGCTCGAAAACACAGAATTTGTTATCAATACCATTAAAGATTTATTAAAATCTGGCAGAATTCAAGAAGTTAAGGGAATTCCAAAGGTGGTTAATCCATTAACAGTTACATCTAACGGCAAAAAGAAACGTTTCGTACTTGATTTAAGACATGTGAATCCATACATTTGGAAAGAGATAGTAAAATTTGAAGACGCAAACGAGGCTCTACAATATGTTAAATTGGGAGGGTATATGTTTCAGTTTGATTTGAAAGATGGTTATCATCACATAGATAATAAGGAATCACAACAAGATTTTTTTTTTTTTTGGTTTTTCTTGGCGTATGAATGGTCAAATAAAATATTATGTTTATACAGTGCTCCCTTTTGGAATTTCGTCAGCAGGTTACATATTCACGAAAGTTTCGAGATGTTTAGTAAAACATTGGAGTTCAAAACATATACCAATTGTTCAGTACCTAGATGACGGTTTGGGATTTAGCGAAAATTTTGAGACTTGCGAAAGATTTGCGAATTTGATCAGACATGATTTATTGAAATCTGGTTTCGTAGTAAACCAAGTCAAAAGTATATGGAAACCAACACAAACACTGAACTGGTTGGGATTACAATGGGATTTGAAAGAAGGGATTCTTTCAATAATTGATAAAAAATAAAAAAAAAGTGTCAGATTTAAAAATTGATATAATTGATAAAATGGAAAATATATCAAACACATCTGCTAGAAGTTTTGCTAGAATTACGGGAAAAATTATGTATTTATATATAGTATTCAGAGATATAACGAGACTGATGACTATAGAAATATGCATCAGGTCATAAATGACAGGAGAAATTGGGATGATATCGAGGATTTGAAGGACAAGTCAGATTTGCTAAATGAATAAAAATTTTGGTTGTCGAAAATTG